GCTCCTTCAGACTAGCCAGCAGCAATTAGCAAACATCTGGTGGAAATGAGCATCTGCTGAGCTCATTATATGAGCTGCTTCTCAGTGCAACGCTGGTAAAAATGTTGTTAAAGGGTTAATGGAGGAGCGCTGATGTAATGACTTACTGAAGGCGGAGTTTCACAAAGAACAAGAGTTTTTAAAGAAACAGCCACAAAACTTTGCATTATGATGCGTAGAGGAACAAAGTCAGACACGTACAGAACAAATAAATAGTGTGTGGCTTTGCAGAGCTCCGTATCTGAGCTAACAGCAACACCTTGTCTATGTGACCAGTAAATGAGCTCAGCTCTAAATGGAGAACAAGCAATACTTGTGAGAAACTGGAAAGTAACACTTAATAGTGGTGTTACTCTAGTTAGTGTGGTTGGCATGTGTATTAATCTAACTACTTTGTAGAATCATTTTTAGCTGTAGTTACACCTGCAAATCTTTTACATTAAGACTCCATGAGCTTCACAAACTTGGTGTTTAAGGCATTCTTTGTAAAATCGCTTCACCTTAGAGCGGATGACTGATGCTAAAACTATGCACTACAAGCAGAAGATATTCTATTTATAAACACATTTTAAAAAAGACAAGCTCTCTTTAATGATTTTTGCACCATAAATTCATGCATGTGCAGAAATCCACATCACCTACTTCAACTTCCACCTTTGTAATTTTGGTTGAGTGTTTTTTAAAGGCCAATAACAGATCTTTGCACATGAAACATGCTAACATGCAGCGAACAGGAAATATAATGGTTTCTGATAACTGCTGACATCAAAGCGGGGAGGAAACCGACAGTCTACACCCTGGTAGTCAGGTAGACGTCGCATTTGGTCTGTATGTGAGGATGGGGAACGAGCTGCTACTGAGGCTGAGCTTCTTCGGTGAGTAAATTACTGAGCCTCTGTTGGCATTTTGGATAAAAGTGCAAAACTGGTTGAACATGTTCATCTGGGACTTAAAAAATAACTTTTTTAATCACCCAGTTTGGTGATTTGAGTTTATATAAAAGCTATTTGAATGTGAAAATACGAATGTGTAATTGTAGAATCACTAATTCTGTCAGTTTGATAGAATTTTATCTTCTAACAAAGTTTACCTTTGTTTCAGTGCTCTGTGTGGCCTTTTATGGAAACGCTGAAGGTGAGAAATACATTTTATTTTTTCTCAATCAGTTTACGTAATTTATAGACGTTACTAAATTATCTTATTTTCCATTTTAATATAGCTAGTACGATTTGTGTAGCGTTGCAGCCCTTTTAAGTATAAGTACAAATTTATAAGCAAGTGAAACTAAACTATCAACTGGTGACTAGATGTTTTTTTATAGTTCGGCCTTCCCCTTCTGGCTGTCAGCTAAAACCAAATGTACCGACCACAACCACCACAGAAACAGCCCAGCGCCTAATGCAGGGTCTATTTTTTTTTACCACTTCAGTTTTGTGCTCCAACTAAAAGAACAATGTTAACTTTACATTACTAAACTAACCTGTTTATAAGAAATCTGTTTTAAATTAACAACATGACCATATAACTACATGTCAGTCTGCTGACAATTGCGTATTAATATACGGTGCATTGTTCAGTTGTCATTGAAGAGCAACCCTGCCTGAATGTCTAGTACTGAAAAGTCAACAGTTTCAAAACAACCTGTAGGGATAGAAACTGAGTTTAACGATCCAAACTACACATTCATGTAAAAATACTGCAGCCAATATGACACAAACGTGCAAAATTAAACAAAAATCAGTTTGACTATTGATGCTGAGTTGATGCTTATGGAATTTTATCCATCTGCACAAATTTGTCACAATTTCATCCTTCTGTTCCACAATTTGCCACTGTGATTGTCAGCCTAAGTCTTAAGGTTTCCTCATATCCTATACTGCTTGGCCCAGCTTTAATTAAGTTAATTAAGCTCCAGCTGCTAACCTGAAAATGACTGACAAATCCAGGCCTGAAGAGCAGCAAATACTCCTCAATTAAATAAAGAAAAAATGCATATATTTTGTAGTTTGGTCAAGTTGAAAATGGGAAAAATTCTCCTGTTGGTGTTTCAATCTTCTGGAATGTTAGAGAAAGAACTTCAACATCTCCCTCGTCTACATTATTCTCTGTTTGTTCTGCAAAAATACCCAGGTTGAAGGTCTTCATCATGGCTGATCAAACTGTTAAAACTGTTGCGTTCACAAACAAAGATTTTGAGAGAAAAGCATAACATCCTGAAATAAACCAACTCTACATTGTGACCCCAGAGAAAAAAATTGGGTTGGTCTACTTATACTTTTGTCCCAACAGAAAAATCTATGATGCGGCACAGGAATTTAGTGTTATAAAATTATTATTATCATTAGTATCATTTCTGAGCTCACTCAGGGCTTTCTCTGATGCCCAGATCAGCTCGTCAATGTCGGATGTCTTTTCCTATGATATTCAAAATCCAAAACTATTTTACCTGATAATTATAAATGATTGTGATTTAGTTCTAACAGTCAGCCATGACAACATTCATGTTTTATTGTTTCCTAACTTTTCAGAACGTGAAGACAAAGTCACTCTGACAGCAGATGCCAAGATCATTCAACATGCAGGAGGCAGAGTGACACTGACCTGTTCTGCATACAGACCTGCTGCTTTAATGTATGAGCTTTTTAGACGCTCTTCATTCCACGATAGTGAGACATTTATAAATATATCAAATGGAGTTTTCAATATTACTGAAGGAGGGATCTACAGATGCAGAGGATTTACACAGGGATTCTTTACACCTGTGAGCGATGATGTCACCATTAAGGAGACTGGTGAGTTTAAGCTTTAAGAACAACAATTGAATCCCATATGTAGGACAGATTGTAACTCTGCTGAGTGACTGATTTCAGACTGTTATCAAATTGAACATTTATATTGATAATGTAAGACTAATGAGAATTCATCAACAAAAAGGTAAAACTAAACATCTTTCAGCTGATAAACAGCTCAGAGATAAATATATGAAGTACATTCACTCTACACTTCTACAGACGTTTAAGTTATTCCAAGATTTTAAAGGGTACATAATAAATAATCCAAGGTAGCACAGGTAGTTGATGGAAAATATTTCATATTCTTACAACACATTCAAATTCTTGCAACAAAATAGAACAATGTAAATTTGCACATTTTCTACAGAAAACAAAAGGACGTTTTTGTATTTGGTTTTTCTTACGTCTAACTGTCCATTTGTTGTATTGACAGTTTCCAACAGAGTTTCAGTGACTATGGAGCCCAACTGGTCTCAGATCTACAGAGGAGAGAAAGTCACTCTGAGATGTGAGATCAGAGGAGGTGGAGGAGCTCAGTGGACGTATGAATGGAGACCAAACAGAAACTCTCCATCATCCAGGGAATATAAGATCAACTCAGCTACTGCGTCTGACAGTGGAGAATACAGCTGTATGGCTAAAAGTGACTATAAGCAAACACAATGGAGTGATGCCTTCAGACTGTCAGTGTTGTGTGAGTCAAACTCTCCTCTTTTCATGCTTATCTTTATCATCTAGAGAAAAACATAAAACTTTTAGCCAACTCTGGCTAGCTAAGGCACCTCATATTTTTAAAATCAAAAGAGAAAATGATCAGAAACTACAAAAAACATCTATGGATCCAGGCATAATGACTGATTTTTGAGGATCTTCTGTAATTTAACTCAACTCCCTGACATTAATAGATATTTCATCAATGAGGACAATCCCGTTCAACCAGGGCCATTTGGGTTTTTTCCCTTTTAAAATAAACAGATTCAGTCAAACACTTCATTTTGTTGACTTGTGTTCTTTTCCCATTATGTTTAATTCATGATCTGAAATGTTTGACAACCATAGAGAATAGCAAATAATCACAAAACTGTCTTTTTCTCAAAACTGTGTAGAGAAAATGCAATCAACCTTTAAATTTAAGATGAAGAAAGATCAACTCAGATCAGAGAACCACAGTATGTGGGAGAGAAGACAATTGTTGAGAAAGAACTGAGTTGTTCACAGTAAAATTACCATTTTAAATACTTTTGTAAACAAACTAAATAGAAAAACTGAATAAATTATGTGGGTTTTAATCAAGCATTATATGTTATTCAGGTAATAAATTACTGATTTCATTCTGTCAGAAGAACAAAGGGAAACAACACAAGTTGAATTTTTTTATTTAATTTTTTTGTGGGAAATGTCCAGAGCACGTAAAAAAGAGCAAGTTCATTAAACTTATGCCTTTAATCTGGTTAGAGAATAATACATATCTAGGGATTTGGTATTTTAATGTTCATAGACTTTGTCTCATGTTTCTGATATCTGGTGATATAACATAAATTACGCAATAAGAACTAACGATGAGCTTATACTCTACAAAATGTTTGGCAAAATTTCATGACCTACCCACTATCACTTTCCTCAACTCAACAGCAGAGAAGCCCAGAGCCACGGTGACAGCAGACAACACAATCATACCAGCAGGGGGCAGTGTAACACTGAGGTGCTCAGTGGAGAACTCTGCTGGTTGGAGGATTTACTGGTTCAGACAGGACTTTGAATCTTCTAGAGCTACAGACATTAAAAACAATAAACCAGATGGAACCATCAGAGTCTCAGATGGAGGTCTGTACAGCTGCAGAGGAGAAAGAGGAGATCCAGTTTTCTACACTGACACCAGCACAAAGGTCACTATTCAGAAAACTGGTGAGTTTAGTTATCAGCTTGTCATTAAAACAAGCATAATTGATTATTAAGTTGTTACATAAGCTGAGAAATAAAAACTACTTCAATATGTACTTCATATACTTGCCCTTGAAATAACCATTTTAAAAATGTTAAGCTTTGAAACTGTATCTTTCCTTCCTTGAATAATAGCAATAGTAAAAAAAAGTTATCTCCCACCTTGTTAAATTGACATAAGTGAATTTAACAAATTATTTTCATCATTGTTTTTGTCTGTTTAACTTCTTCATGCAAACAGTTAAACCCACTGTGATCCTGCAACCCAACTGGCCTCAGATATACATTGGAGAGAAAGTTACCCTTAAGTGTGAGATCCAAGGTGGAAGATTTAGGTATGGAACAAAGCAATGGAGAAAAAACAACTCTGTTAAACCTGGAAGGTCCCAAGAATACATGATCACCTCTGCAACAGAATCTGACAGCGGTGATTACAGCTGCAGAGCAGAAGGAGACAGGTTCTCCTTATCAGTGTGGAGTGATGATGTCGCATTAGTTGTATGTAAGTTGGTCATTTTTTATTAATATGAAAGTTATGTTCATTTTGATGCTCATTGATTGTGTTTATTTAGAAGTTGTTGAACTTTTAGATCAATAACAATTGCTGAAAAAACTAAAGCAAAATTCTAAACATCAGTAATGTAATTGTAGATGTAATGTAATTAAACCATTTAATTTTTTTTCTTCTAACAAAAACATTTAATCACAGACCATCAAAGCAAAGTGAAGTTCTTTAATTGAAACTCATAACATTGTTATTATTAATTCAGAAAATTGCACAAAAGAACAAAGTAAACATTTCCAATCCTAAATCACTCACACTTTACAGATATGCTTGTAGAGAGGAATTCAAATGTTTTATCTGGTGATAGTGAGTAAATGACACCATAAATGCTAAAGGTTATTCTATATTTCTAAAAATGATATGCAAAACATTTTTTAATGATTTGCCCTCCTTGAACTTTTCTTCAACTCAACAGCAGAGAAGCCCAGAGCCACAGTGACAGCAGACAACACAATCATACCAGCAGGGGGCAGTGTAACACTGAGGTGCTCAGTGGAGAACTCTGCTGGTTGGAGGATTTACTGGTTCAGACAGGACTTTGAATCTTCTAGAGCTACAGACATTAAAAACAATAAACCAGATGGAACCATCAGAGTCTCAGATGGAGGTCTGTACAGCTGCAGAGGAGAAAGAGGAGATCCAGTTTTCTACACTGACACCAGCACAAAGGTCACTATTCAGAAAACTGGTGAGTTTAGTTATCAGCTTGTCATTAAAACAAGCATAATTGATTATTAAGTTGTTACATAAGCTGAGAAATAAAAACTACTTCAATATGTACTTCATATACTTGCCCTTGAAATAACCATTTTAAAAATGTTAAGCTTTGAAACTGTATCTTTCCTTCCTTGAATAATAGCAATAGTAAAAAAAAGTTATCTCCCACCTTGTTAAATTGACATAAGTGAATTTAACAAATTATTTTCATCATTGTTTTTGTCTGTTTAACTTCTTCATGCAAACAGTTAAACCCACTGTGATCCTGCAACCCAACTGGCCTCAGATATACATTGGAGAGAAAGTTACCCTTAAGTGTGAGATCCAAGATGGAAGATTTTATTATGGAACAAAGCAATGGAGAAAAAACAACTCTGTTAAACCTGGAAGGTCCCAAGAATACATGATCATCTCTGCATCAGAATCTGACAGCGGTGATTACAGCTGCAGAGCAGAAGGAGACAGGTTCTCCTTATCAGTGTGGAGTGATGTTTTCACATTAGTTGTATGTAAGTTGGTCATTTTTTATTAATATGAAAGTTATGTTCATTTTGATGCTCATTGATTGTGTTTATTTAGAAGTTGTTGAACTTTTAGATCAATAACAATTGTTGAAAAAACTAAAGCAAAATTCTAAACATCAGTAATGGAATTGTAAATGTACTGAATTAAACCATTTCAATATATTTTTTATGAAAACCTTTAATAGCAAAGTGAAGTTCTTTAATTGAAACTCATAACATTATTATTAATTCAGGAAACTGCACAAAAAAAAACAAAAATAAACATTTCCAATCCTAAATCACTCACACTTTACAGATATGCTTGTAGAGAGGAATTCAAATGTTTTATCTGGTGATAGTGAGTAAATGACACCATAAATGCTAAAGGTTATTCTATATTTCTAAAAATGATATGCAAAACATTTTTTAATGATTTGCCCTCCTTGAACTTTTCTTCAACTCAACAGCAGAGAAGCCCAAAGCCACAGTGAAAGCAGACAACACAATCATACCAGCAGGGGGCAGTGTAACACTGAGATGTTCAGTGGATAACTCTGCTGATTGGAGGATTTACTGGTTCAAACGGGACTTTGAGTCTTCTAGAGCTACAGAGATTAAAAACAATAAACCAGATGGAACCATCAGAGTCTCAGATGGAGGTCTGTACAGCTGCAGAGGAGAAAGAGGAGATCCAGTTTTCTACACTGAAACCAGCAGAGAGGTCACTATTCAGAAAACTGGTGAGTTTAGTTATCAGCTTGTCATTAAAATAACAAGCGTAGTTTAAATCTTTTATCTGCTGATTTTTATAAAACACAATAATAAATGGAATGCAACATAATGTTAAATAATAACAGATAAAATAGTTGTGTCAGAACAACAATTTTAGAATCAAAAGATGGGAAAATAAGAAAATTAGGGAAATGAGCCAACTGTTTCTTTCAGTAATTTGTAACACTCATGGTATTTTTATCCCACTAACATGTTCTAACTATAAAATAGTTGATTCCATATCTGTGTTTCCTGATCATGCACTTCAGCTATGATCTGTTTGTAGGAGTTCAGATTCTGAGTATTCCTAATGGAAAACTTCTGAAACTAGAAGTTTTTATATAATATAGGGCAGTAATAAATCAAACAACATATTATTTAATGAATCAGTCACCCCATTAACAAGGTAAAGTTGTTCTTTTCTAACTAAGGAGACAGGAGTCGGCTGATTCCTCTCTGGACATTTATTAGGAACACCTGGGCAGGTGGTACAGGTCAAACCAGGGTCAGTCCCAGGCTGGAAAAGGAAACGACTTAACATTCAGAAATCAGTTATATAAATCAGTCAATATGCATAGTCTGAACAATAATTGGGAATGTTTGGCTTGCAGCTAGCATGCTACATGCACCTAGCTGCATCAAATGCCACTAATGACAGATTCCAACACAGGAAATATTCTAATAAGCAAAGTTGATATAAAGCCCAGTTTCTTTTATTGTAGTTTAAAAGTTTAATTAGTAGCATTGCCTTTGCCTTGAATACATTTGGCTGTTACCAGATAGAACAAGCTGCACCACTGAACATGTAAAGAAGTAGGAAGTTAAGGTGTCTGTCATTGACATGTAGATGTTGATGAGAAAGTAAACTCTCTCCAACAGATAAAGTCTCTGTGTCTCCATCATGGCTGAATCCTGGAGCCTCAGTGACTCTGAGCTGTGAGGGAAACTCTGCTGAGTGGAGAGTGAAGAGGTTTATAGAAACAGGAAAACTGTCAGACTGCTCCAACTGGGGGAGAATGACTGGATCTACATGCACCATTAACAGATACTGGTCTGATAGTGGAGTTTACTGGTGTGAGTCTAGATCAGGAGAGTTCAGCAATGCTGTCAACATCACTGTACAGGGTAGGTTATGTTTTCTAGTACTGTTCTTCTACTATTTGTATATGAAAAAAAATCACAATTCATCCCAGTACATTGTTAGGTGAAACCAATTTATTATTATTGATGTTAATTTATTGTTTACTTTTAATTAGGAATCCACAATAATGACTGTCAAAACCTTCTGTAGTGATTTTCAACAGTCTTGTATAGTCTTGATAACATACAGATTTTCTTTAGTGGCTCTTTATATGTGCAGAAAATGATAGAAATCACATTTGATTATTCTTTAATTTGTCTGGAAATCGAGTGTTAAATCTTGGCGTGAAGAAAAAAAACTGCTTTGCACATAATTTTTTATTTGTTTACTTATTTTCCTCTGTCACCTCTATTTATAAAAAAAATCAATTCTGACATGTAATACTCTGTGATTGTTTTACAGATGATGATTCTGCTCCTCTCCTGCTGAGTCCTGTTCATCCTGTGACTGAGGGAGATCCTGTTATTCT